GGCTGGAAGTTCTTCATAAAGTTTACCATGGTTATATCTTGTTAACCGTTTACCAGTAGGGGTTAGATAATTTCCTGTGGGAATGTTGAAGTGGCTGTTAGCTAATTCATATAGAAACTTGAGCTTTGCAATTTTTTCCCTGGCTGATAGTACTAATTTTTATGCATTCATTAAATGGGTGGGTGTAGGGAATCTATTAGTCATGTGCCAACAGCAGATTTTGAGTTTGAAGCCAGTAGTGGTTTTGTCCAAATACTTTCAAATCAAATATTGAATGGTTTCTCAAAGCCCAGACTGTTGCACCATGCTTAAACGAAAATCCGGCTAAACTCGTGAAGGTTGTACCCAAGCTTCCACTTGTCCATTTATAGGCTAATTTTAATCTAACTATATTTACAGACTGTGACCTCAGAAAGTTCCATGCTGGGGATGACAAGTAAATTAGGTATTTAACATAAAATGAAACCTATAGTATAGAGCTGCATCTATACCCGATTGAAATTGAGTGGATTTACAAGCCTCGCTATGTGCGAATATTATTTTTTCAATCTCGAATTAATTAAAAAGATATGTATCACGAATGGTTAATGCAGGTTGTCTGGGCATATCTACCTATCATATAATCTTGCATTAGAGCTACAGTTATTTTGAATACTTTACTACACGTAAATATAAACATTCACAAAATTTTAGTTTATTTTTAAACACCAGTCGCGCGCGTGCAGAAGGTGTGCTTTTCTTTCCCAAGCACGCAATTGCGATATTCATAATTTCCCAAGTGTTGATTGCAGCGGGTTGCCCGTTGAGTGCGCTTCTTACCGAGCACTGGTGCACTGCAGAGAAGAAACATCAGCGGAGGTCGCTTTTGTGTGTGTTGCTTCTCCGCAGTGCTCCCACGCTCGACAAGAAGCGCACTTGACGGGACTTAAAAAAGAACAAGAAAACTAACTTTTTTTTTGTGTGTTTTTTTAAGTAATATTGACAATGAGTTACATGAAGACAACTTCATTACATTTGTACTGCACATGTTCATGCTAGCGAGATACAGCTTGGCCTCGCCATCATTGCTGCCGTACGGCAAAAACTCCTTGTTTAAGTGCGGGGAGGGAGGGGGGAGGAGTTTTTCTGAAGATGTGCCTGTAGACTTGGCAGGTAGGTGACAGTGAAAGGAACATCAAGAAAATCTGGAAGATCTTGGGTGTATGGCCCCTAGGAAGAGGCACGTTTGGTGGAGTATCTCCACAACTGCCGTCTCCTTCAGTGTCTTCGCCCTCATCGCTAAGTCAGAGTTGACTTCTTCACCTGATGGAAAAACATCTCCTTTTCACTGAAATTATGAAGACGCGAAAGCATTCGGAAATAAGGTAGCCATGCTTTCTCAGCGACGTGCAGTCATAGAACCAAGCCCCCCCCCCCCCCCTTTTTTTTTGTTTTTTTTGTAACGTATTGTGTTGTTTTTTATGACAAGCAAAGGAAGGCAGCGCCAACGGCTTCATAAACTCTGCAGGAGATGGCGCTACGCGGCCCCTTAATAACCTTCATGTAGTCACCTTGATAAAGTCGTTTTTACTACCACCAACCATTGTTGTGGAAACGCGCAAGACACGTGCCACGACCCCACGACTCCCACGAGTGGGTGGTCCACCGCGAAAAATTGTGTTTGTGTGTATGTTTATACAGCCTGAAGGTAGTCTGCCTCAACTGGTGGCTGTCACTTGCAGAGCACTGTGCAACGCCTGCGCAGCCGTGGAGTGGGAGGGGCGTGTCGTCCAGCGCGTCGTCTGGTGTGGACCCGGAGCCGCGCGCTGGCTGATTTGCCGTCACAGGAAATTTACTCCCGCACTTCGAAGGTCGCTCGGCTTACCATATCCGAATCGATTATCGAGAACTGTCTGAAATTTTTCGGGCACGTACCAACAATCCCGTAGCTGCTGCTGATTATGATTCTCGCGCAACGTCATCTGGGCAAAAGTATTTTCATACAGCGACGCTGTGTTTCTTTGTTGTTATTGTTTTCTTTTTCGTGGCTTTACGATAAAAATAAACGCTAAAAGGCGGCACCAACAGGTCCATCACGTTATTTAAAGCAACACACTGTCGTTTCCTGTTTAGTGTTGAAGTTAGGAATGACAGTGCACAATTCGAATGGAAGCAGTGATCGCACACTCCTACTTTTAGCCTTCGAAGTGCGTGAGTGAATTTCCCTTGACGGCAAACCTGGCAGCGCGTGGCTCCGTCCCCGAAAACAATTCCTGTGTATGCCACTGATCTTGCTACAACCTTTAGATAAGCTGCAGACGACAGGCCACCGTCATTGAATCTCCCTTTATCCCAGTATGTCTCCGTCGTCCTTTTATGCCATAGTTAGTTTGTTGTACATTTTATAGCTCTGGTCGCTTTTTCACCCCAATTCATCCGATATAAAACGATGTCGGAACGCGCTTCTCTTGGTATCGTTTAACGCGTGCAAGCGCGGAATGGCGTCATGTGCGACAGTGTGAAGCTCTTTTCGACCGATCACTGATGCTTACCAGCAGGATTTTGCGGTGAATTTATCCTTTATTACAGACCAGTGGTTCTCAAATGGGGGTCCGCGGAGGTATTCTAGGGGTCCGCGAAGCTCAGCCTCATCAGTCAAGCCCAGCAATAAAAGTTGTCTTGTCTGAGAGTCAGAAGAAACGTTACAATTTTCGAGTGAGTTTTCTCGTGTATATGTCACTAAAAGAAGTCTACTCCACACTAGCCCTTAGTTATACCCATTTATTAAATCATTTTTGTAATTAAACCATAACTTTTCCTTCCCCTCACCACGAACAGAGTCCTCCATCATATCCGCCGATTCACAAGAGGTCCGCGAATCATCAATGCTCGAGAACCACTGCTCCAGACAATTTTTCTGCCCTCGGCATGTATGCCCTGGTTGTTACCTTCATAATAAATAATTCACGGTATAAGTCGCACCCATTATGCATATTGTATTAGACACTGAGTTGCCTGTGGATGAGACTGCATTAATGTATAAGCAAATTAATTTATATGATCTTATTCCTTGATAACCACATTTCGGTGCATAGAAGTGCCGCACCCGTGGTATACTTCTGCGATCATACATCTGTCACTGATTTAGTGGTTTATAGGGGTATAATTGTTGTCTCGTGTACAAGGAAGCGCTGAACATGCCGAAAAGCTCGAACGAAATCTCGAAAGATGTAACAAATTGGTATTGTTCTTTAATAAGCAGCGACCAATTTATGGTTAAGTATGACTCTCATAATATACATTTGCAAACACTTTTTGTGTCAATTAAGCGTAAGCTTGTTTCGAATATAAGCTTTTGCTGGGACGATGTTTTCTGATTATTTATTATTATTATTTTGCCTAAGCAATTTGGGTCGAAGCCCGTGGTCGAAGCTACGGAGTGTGTTCGCATACCTTGCTCCATATCATAGTTTCGCTCCCTTCACTTTAAAGGACTTGTCCAGAGAGTTGCAAGGGCGAACCAACCGGAAGGCGCTTGTTTCCTTCCTCCCTCCCCCTCCCCCTCCCCCTCCCCCCCGTTTTCAGAGTGGGGGGCAAAGCATGCGTTTTGCCCCCCTGAAACAGCCGCCACCGGGCAGGGCAAATACTTTGCTTTTCATCAGGAGTCGGATGTCTTTGCTGGCATAGCTTGCATACTTTTCACTTTCTCTTGCAACTCCGTTCACTCATAAGCTGACAGTGCGAGTTGCATGCTCACTTTGACCAGTTGTACGTCTTTCTTTCGCCACGTGATCACTCTCCCGCCCTGTATCCCCACCCGCAGAGAGAGGGGTCAGGTGATGAAAAGGAAGCGGTCGATTGGTCTCGCGAGAGCGTTGCTCCCACCGCACTGTCATCTTAGGGGCCTTCGGGGAGAGGTCACCTTTACCTCCGGCCCTGGAGGTCGCTCATCTCCGCTCCTTTGGGATCGGGGAAACAGGGGGATCGGTGGCCGAGTGGGCTAGGGCACACCAGCTCGGAGCACGTGGAGCGAAAGCTCGCCCTGCAGATCCCAGGGATCCTGGGCTCAATCCCCACTCCTGCCCGTTCCGATCTGGATGTATCCGCAGTGTCACTACTGCGGCTAGAGGTTGTACTGCTAAATTGCTCATCTACAGTGAGTGACTCGTCGCAACTTTGAAATGCCTGACCAACTACACGCTGCATAAATACCCACACAACCCCAATTATTATCAGGGAAACTAGGTGTCGTTTGGCTAGGCTTTTCCGTTGGTTTCATAGCTGCTGCTGGCTTCACTTGGAGAAAGGATTTAAGGTGCCGTTTGGCACGGCTTCAAAGCTGATGACGTCGGCTCGCTCCATGGGACAGATAATGCTTTAGCATTAATAATTGGCGCACGTTCTTTCCATGAGCCAGCAGCCGCCGTTGTGAGCGAGCACACGCAGCTCAATTGACGTCATAGTCCCCCATTCGCGCTTAAGATGACAGTGAAATGTATGAGCTTCGGGCCAAAGGAGAATAGAGACAGACTTTTCGTCCCCACGAGTAAAAGCTACGTGATTGTTAGACCATGCAATTACGTAGCTTTCACTTTCGTTTACCTTTTACACCAGACCCAACTGTGGAGATGAAAAGCTTGTCTTTATTCTCTTTTTCCTCGGAGCCCACACATTTCATTGTCATCTTAAGCGTGAATCGGGGTCTATGAGGGTGATCGGTGGCCGAATGGGTTAGCGCACACTAGGGTGCCTTAATGTCCTTCTGTTTAGGGTGATGCCACCCTTTGTAGTAC